TGGAAACAAAGCCGGCTCAAACGATCCAAAAACACGTTTGAGCAGTCCAACGGTTATCGAACTCACGAACTCTTGAAAATGGTGCTTATGCAATCACTGACCTTTGTTCCTTTTTATGTGATTATTTGAAGAGCTAGGCAAGCATCGTTCAGTGTGCTGATCTCAAAATAAATTGCATGTAGAGAGATGAATACATTTTCGAAATACACAAGCTAGCTAATCCGATAAATTGTGCATCTTTTTTCCACATGCTCACATCAAATGCCTTTTGTCTAACTTTGCATTTATTATTTACCCCATCAATACTTGGGTTCGGTCAGTCATAAACTGCAAATAATATTCGAAGATTTGAGTACTTCCTACAGGAATTGCTTTGAGTTCCTCGCAAATCTCTTTGAGCTAACATCTACCCTTGCCCGGTATGAAAAACCATTTACCTTTTCTCTATTTCTATTTACAGAACCCCTTTGAATCGATGAATGCTGCGTGCAATTCCCATATCTTGTTTAGCATTCATACTAGGCAGTTACGATCTAGTATCGACTATACAAAGCATGAACTACATTGAATATCCAATAATATCCAACGGCGATGATTAAGCGATTGATGCTATTGTCACACCGACCTGGAGGTCATGATTTTGAATATCATCACCGAAGTCACCGTCCAACGCTCCCCACGTGAATGGCCACTCTTGTCCCCTTTCACATGAAAGTTGATCGCACAACTGTATTTTGTTCACATTGTGAGAAGTTCACTAGTCTCGAAGGGATTCCGATCCATGCATGAAGTTTCCGTAGGCGTTTTGTACAGCATACGCTCCATTACCTAACCAAAAAACCTAACTTGAACAAGCAACTGAGCCTCAGAAGCTCATGCGTTGGCTTCTATTGATTTCTAAGGAAAACCAAATGCGGTAGACAGCTTACATGCTACCTGATGGACTTTATATGCCTCTGTAAGTTGAGCTAATTATCCCAATCTGGAAAAATGAGCGGCATCAATATGGTGTCGTGGCTTAGCTAGTAAAAAGTGTGTAGGCGGATTCCATGCATGGGTTCGAATCTCACCGAGACTACTGAACCTTTCATAGTTTGGATACAAAATTTCAATCTGACAAAATACTAGCTTTTTCAATTATATGTTCAGTGAAAAAGATTCAGAAAGAGTATTGAGATTAACATAATTCCCTTCAATTTATCTCTGCTCATTACGATGAATCCGAACTTCTTTCCCGGGTACTTGATCTCTGATGAGGAAGTTTGATTAAAATAGATTCACCAAATAGGTTAAAAAATGAAAAATAAGTTTAAAAGATCCATATGGCCAACGCTCTCATGTTTTAGGAATAGTCAGGCAACAAGTTGTTGTCCTATGATAATTCCCTCACAGGAAAAATTATGGTGTGGTGCAACAACTACATATCATGGAAATATGAGTAAATTTTCGTTGAAGTTTCCGCAGTGTTTTGTGATATCGATCAATTGGTCTCGGATGGCCACTTTTTACTTCGGTAGACTCACGATCACTACACACACACACACACACATCTTTATTCCATGAAAACCCGAACACCGAACTGCCAAACAAAAGTTGAATGCCTACCTTACTACTTCCTTTTTAATTGCCAATCGACCATCATTACTGTTAGTAGCCAACTGCATATTACTAGCAATGCTCGAGGAAATACCAAAAAACAATCTGGTTCTGAACACTACATTGTAGAGGTTATATGTTTCACACCAACACATCAAAAACTTAAAGGTAGTTCGGTAGTTGAAATCGAAACTCAGACATGGTTTTTGAATTAGTACGGACTGATTCAAACACGAAGAAAATGATTAAAAACAACTTTTCAAGCGAATTGCGAGAAAACCTCAAGTGAACATATGGTTTTAGAGTGGATGATCATTCCATTTGTGATTGTTACGTCATCGGTATCATTTAGGTTCGTATCTGGGACCTTGCAGCTGATTGTCAAATACTGAGTCCAGAAAAAATCTGACCAGATCAGTTTAAACTTCAGTTATGCCGACCCAGTTTACGCAACATTCCTAAGCAAAGTTGAAGGCTGAAGACCAGGCATGCTTGATGCTGTTAGCTATCAAGTCCAGAAAGGTGTCGAAATAAAGTGCGAAGTCGCTTTTATTTCTTGTCGTGGATTTCAACTTTGGTATAACGACCGGTTTATCTGAATCATGTTGGTATATTACCAAATACGCACAGATTACTCATCAAAACCCTCTCATTTCCTATCCCATGGATTAACTAGGCACTGCGGTTTTCGAGTCCTTGAATTTCAAGTAATAAAGAACAAACTGCTATCATGCTGCATAGTAGTAGAAGTGATGTTTCGCATTTACCAAACCGTAATACATTCCGATTATGCTGTTCAAAGCAACCTGTCTATTAACGAATTTAAATGCAAAACAAAATTGTTTTAGAGAAAATATTTATCACGTAAAAAAGCGGATATTTGCAATGTTTTTTTTTGGAGCAAATAGAAAACAACCAGTGATGATACTCGTATTATGAGTGGGAGGATGTGGAGTTGAGGAAAGTGAAAAAGCCAGAAGAAGAAGTAGGCGGTTCAGTCATCCAAGGTCATCTTGTCAAACAAATATTCACCGAGTCCATTCCCGGTTCGTTTGGTTTGTGTGACGTAATGCGCAAATTTGCTGATGGACTCGACTTGTTCTTTCAGGAATTCCGCTTCCAGGAAATCTTGTGTAGCAGGATCTTCGTGTTGTGCAGCCAACGCGTGTATTTTCAATAGGGACTGTGTCGGTTGTTCAGGAATGAATGCAAAGTGGAATAAATGGGGTCAGGAAACAAATAATTAAATCACCATGATTGTTTCTTTAAAATATAGCATTGAATAGTTCTGGCTACAATTATTTTTCGCTTGTTTGTAGTACGAAACAGTACCATATTTCTCACTTTGTCAGAGTGCTACGTAATTTATTAATCCGTATCGAAGTATTGTAAACTTATCGCTGTAAAAATAAAAGCAATGAAAGGAAGGCAACTAACAGACCACAATCTATATGCGCCTGCTTCTTCTCTGTTCACTTGTTTAAGTTTTCATCCAATTGGGCGGTTTGATATTCGAGTAACAATATCATGATATGTGAAAATAGCTCACTGTCTTATACTTGAATTGCTACTTATCTACGTAGAGCTTCACTATTCGCGTGAACTCAATGCTTCCACAATCCATAAACCGTTGGGAAACGACATTACGTTGTTTTATCCGTCTTCGACACCATGTGTATTTTACAGACAGAACAAATGGAAATCAATTACTACACGTGACCACTAAAGTATATAGTGCTTATCTTTCCAGTTTATTGGGTGCAGTGAAATTCATCAGCCAAAGATCGACTCTGAGATGTGTGACTTATCAACAAGTTTACCATACTGGTGAACCGAAAAATCAGGTATGATTGACATGAAATGATGTCATTGACATAATTCAGAAAACCAGGTTTGTTCATGAAAGAATATACGTAATGCGTGTAGAACAAAATTCACCCACTAATTATCAACAATCCCTTCACTTCACGATCGTAAGCTTAGATTGGAACACAAAACCACTATGTCTACTCACCTCATTCACCGCTTTCTCCAACCCCAGAGCTGTTTCCATCGCATCCTGTATACTTTCAAATGTGGTTTTGGCTGGTTTATGCAAATCCTGATAGACTACACGACCGCCTCGTTGATTCTGATATTTCGCCAATTTTTCCGCGTGTTCCCGCTCCTCGTGGGACTGTTTCCGAAAGAACTCAGCCGTGTGCGGTAGTGAGACATTGTCCTGGTCGAAATAGGTGGCAAACGCCAAATACGCATAGGATGCTTCCAGTTCCATATTGATCTGACGATTGATAGCCGCTTCGCATTCTTTAGCATAATTCTGTCTGGAAAGGGAGGTCATGTTGCTGTTTGAGGCAGTAAGATTTATCTGGACTGAGAGCTTCTTCCTGGACAGAATGTGGAATGCGGTCCATTCACGTATTTATACGTTCACCGGTGTGGGTTGAAGCACCTGTCTTGCGTAATGCTGAACCAATCCTGTTGGCGGTTGGATTCACGCTCTCTCATGGCTGGTCAAGTGGTTAGTGTGTTATTGGCACAAACACACGCGCGCGCACTTACACACAGACACACAGGTGAACCAATATCCGAACGCTATCCGAGATCGGAAATAGCTCCATGGTTTGTGAAACATGTGAAAGGTCAGTGTGATTTTCTCTTACCCCCAGACAGTAAGTGAAATTAATCAACAAAATTTGCTGTCACCATATTCGTCCGGATGCTTACTAGATGGAAACTCCGCTGTTGTTCTCTCGTGACCTACCATGACTACAGTCCAAATCTCAACGAATTTTCCACGTGTTTAGCTCTGTCGATAGGACCGCACTATAGGACTGTTTGTTAAGGAGTGGAGATCGGACTATCCCTTAAGGGAAGGGTGTACATCGTCGCGGTTCGTAGCGTTTTGCTTTACGGTTTTGAGACCAGGCCTCTACGAGCAGAAGACGTTAAGCAACTTTCTGTATTCGACCAGCAATGTCTCCGAAGCATTGTTCGTGTCTGGTAGGGACATCGGGTGAGCAATGACGAGGTCTATGCTAAAAACCCTGTCATACAAAAAAAACAATAAATTAAAATACATTAATATCAAAAGTGTGCAGTGAAACAAACAAAAAATATATTAATCTTGTTATCCACCCTAACTTTCTGACTTCCTATTACTCTGGTTTGTATCCCGTGTCCCGTTGTTCTTGTTGTTGCTTTGGCATGTGATGTGTAAAGATGCAACCAATGGGGACATAAATCTTTTTGTGAATATTCTCACATCGCTATTGGACATAATTAGATAACATATTGGTCATCTTAAATAAGTCAAAACTACATCAGCAACGACATCAAGTTCACAATGGAGATGGAGAAGTATAAACATCGTAACTATCAGAACGAAATGGAAGAGGCAGGAGACAACATTCTACCAAAAAATACCCCATGGTGATCAAATCACGAACTTAAAAATCAATTTTTTGCATAAGGTTGTGTGTCATGGCTATGTTCCGAAGAATTGAAACATGGTACAACAGTCACTCAAAACAAACGAATTTACTCGAAATAGCTACACCGGGTTGGTCCGCAAATAGAAAATGGTATAACGGAGAAAACAAACAGCCGTCAGAATATGAAGAACATGAACAGTTTTTTTCACGTGTCAAAGATGTTTTACAAATGACAGCAATACTGCTGATATTGTAGGGGCTCTAAGTTGCCTACAAATTGACCACCGGTGCACGGAGAACATATTCGAAATCAAAGGAGAAAACGATAGAGTAAATATGGACAACTTGATAGGTAGAATGAGGTGCAATGTCTGCCCGAAGCAATATATTGGGTAAACTGGAAAAGCACTCTTGACAAGGATTTGTGAACACTAACCGCAAGTCAATAGGCATGAGCCTCTTTTATCTATTTCCCTGCAAGAAGGATACAAATTTGACACACAAGAGTGAGTGAGATAACGTCATAAGCTGACAACGCACTTGAGGACACGATCCGGACAGAACGACAGTAACAACCCCTACCTTCTTCGTGCTAGTTAATATGTGCACTGGATTGAGCAAAATCTCGTTGAAGAAGAAGAAGCTGTGGAATTGAACCGATAGAAGCAGATTATCACCATTTCATAAGCACCGCAGATGTCCCCCCGGTTGATGATGAAATGTTGGCCAATAAATCGCCAAGCTTAAAAACGTGCACGAATGAATTCAGTCCACAGGGGCTAGTAGAAGCGATTTTCAGTACTTTGTCACATTGAGGAATTCGATTCCGCGAGCTGTGCAGATTGTCTACAATTGGGCTTTGGTCGTGCCCTGTTTCCATAACTTTTACCTACTCCATTTTTGGTCATACTATGCGTGCTAATAATGAGATCGGATGAACGAGATAAACGCTTTGCACTGCGGTTCGTTTTATACCGAAGTGCTTCTTTTCAGTGACTATACCAGTTGAATAAGTTGGGTGTGAAAGCTGGAAAAGTTGGGAATGAAAGCATTATTATTTATTGCCTGGTATTATTTCATTCACGGAATAATACCGAGGATCTTCCAACGGGCACAACTATCTCTGTTCAAAAATCAATCGCATTTCTCGCCGATTTCCTTGATGGCTTTCGTCACATGTGTCCCCAATTTCGTGTCTGTAGCACTTTTCCGCTCGTTACATGAAAGCCAAATCAATGAAAGAAAGAAATTTCCCCTTTGATATCTCCAGTCAATCACCTGCTTATACGATGGAATAAAAACATATATTACGTTAATTTTGTCATTTGAACGATTCGTTGTTTTGTAATATGTTGCAAGGTGTAAATGAATATATCCGTTTATGAACAAAATTAGTCGAGGTGTTGCATTGTCTTGGATCGTAAGTATCGGTGCGAATAACTGTCTGCGTTTCAGTCAAAAAACTATCTAATGTTATAACCGGATAAAATCTGTCACGTACATCAATTATGAAACGTAAATAAGAGAAAACCAGCTTGTTCGACAGTGAGTCCGTGTACGATCGTCTTCTTGGCAGTCTGAATATGAGTCACTCAGAATGTTACTGAATAACGACAAATGTTTACTTGGGATGTTAAACGCGAAAAATCGGATCTGGTTGTGGCGTCGGAACAATAAGCAGATAGATCAATCTTGAGTGATTGTCTAGTGTCGTTCAGATTTGTGTGGTTGAAATTTTTATTTGGGATTATATGCAGGTTAGACCTTAAGAGAAGTGTACATAATTCACGAATGCCTACTACACCTCATGCAGTACTCCTTCGTAGAGTGAACCGTATCCGAACCGACCAAATTTGTTCACGGCACAGGTCAGCACCCAGCCGTCTTCCAGACAGTTCCTAGGCGATTAGTGCCCACATAACTCGAAATAAAACAGAATAATTTGCTTTCTTTCCAGTGAGGAATTTATTGCTAATTGTTTCACGCATTTGTCTTCTGTTCTCCTTCTGCTTTGCTTCTTATGTGTTCTGATTCTTATACTATTGGCATACACACAATATTACTTACTCTATTGCGAATGTTCGCTGAATTGCACTTTTCAGAGCCAGCCATATCCTCTTTGCAATCGTCACTTTCTAGGCTCAACGTCTTCGTATGTAACATACGCGTGATATCTTCATCTGTTTCCATCTGACGGGGAAACCTACATATAAATGGCTATTATTGTTCCATCCATCGGTTAGCAAAGTCACAAATGCACGGCTAGTGGTTTAATTGTTGGGATGTTTGACGTTCTTCACACATGAGGTCTGATCACCAAAAATATCTCAGATTTTGATTCATTTGCAGAATAACGAAAGTTAGCCTTTTCCCAGTCACGTGAAACTGTATTCTCCCTAAACTGAATAGGGATGAAATTACTCAGAGGGAGATTTTGATTTCGGGTTAATTATAACCCTTCAGTTTATAAGCAAAGTCCTGAATATCCCTTTAATTGACAATCCAATTAGGATTGGCGAGCGCTTGTGACCTAGACCTATTATCCTTGCTACGTAGAGTTAAAATCAGACCGCAGCAAGTCTGACAACAGATGACACTTCACTATCATCGGCTTACAATACGTACTTGGTCGGCTTTGCCATCTACCTCACCAGTATGGATCGGTTTAATGTTGTTCTTTATATATCTTGCATGTACCTTGAAAATCATTCCCATGGTTCGGTGACTTGTATTCGTTCTGATCGGGAATCATCAAACGCGTTGCACCTGTATGCAACAGCAATCAT